TGTGGTTCTTGTGGTCCTGTGGTGCTGGTGTTTGTAGTGTTGGTAGATGATCCCGCATCAAATCCCATGCTTCTTCTAATGCTGTTGGTCAAAGGCTTCCCCGTAATTCTTCTAATGCTGTTGCCCCCAGTTTTTTTGGAGGTTTCTGGGATGTATTGCCAGCTTACGATAGAGCCTAATTAGAGCTATAGCCCCAGTTACAAACTGCGCAAAGTCCAATGAGTATCAAGTAGAGCTTTTCTGGAGCCTTGTAGGAGGTAAGTTCTTGCTCTAACACAGCAAGTGCTCACCTGTAGGCAGTGGAGCATGGGTTGTAGTCCTCGGGGGAGCCCCATGTGACTGTTGGCACTGTTTGGGGTGCGACGAAAACATCTCTGTGACAGTTGACACTTTCGAGACGCAACAACGGCACGAAGGTCTAGGAGTCTGCTACTACTACTACTACTACTACTACTACTAGTACTAGTACTAGTACTACTACTACTACTAATAATACTAATAATACTAGCAGTACTACTAGTACTACTAGTACTACTAGTACTACTAGTACTACTAGTACTAGTACTAGTACTAGTACTACTACTACTACTACTACTACTACGGCAGCGGCGGCGGCGGCGGGCGGGCGCGAATACTTGAAATGAAGCACTTTGTCAGTACAAATGCTACAGAAGGGATAAAAAATAATACTCATACTTATCAGACTACTACTAATCTTTGTAGCCTTTACTCATTAAAAGTGTATCGGTGAGACTGATTCTGCTAACAACGAGAACATTACTGACTGGTACTGGAACTAGCATCAGTAGCAGCAAGACGAATAAAGATACTGATCCTAATGCTAGTTTACTACTAGTACTAGTACTAGTAGTAGTAGTAGTACTACTACTACTACTACTACGACTACTACTACGACTACTACTACTACTTCTTCTGGCTAGCTAGTAGTAAAAGAAATACGAGCAGCTGCCCCTTGTAAAAGTGACCCGAAAAACGCGTACTGATATGGTCACTATTACTAATACCACTACTAGCTGCAATGCTCCCCGTAAGGGATTTTGATCCTGAATAGGTTTCTTGCTGGTCCTGGATAGTTTGCTGATGTTGCAACTTTTCTGATGCACATCCCGAAGCCCCCTCATTCCAAGCCCTTTTACAACCCAGACTCCGCGCTAGGGGGATGGTATGACCCTGTTGCTTCAACCCGGAACCCTATACCCTAAACATCCCTAAACCCCAGAAAACCTGGAACCCCCAGCCCTGGCATTTCCACCCGGACTAGAGCTAAGAGAGGTGGTCCTGGTCGGAATCCAGTCGGTCGAAGATCTCCCGAAGAACTTTCTGATCCTGGGTTGCTGTTAAGGAACTTAAATTAAGTAACTATATTGGGGAAGCCCTATTATTTACTATATATACCCATTATGGTAACTTAATTTAAGTTCCTTAACAGCAACCCAGGATCATCTTCAATGATGAACTCCAACTCTTGAGCCAAGTTGACTACGTCGTTCTCCCGAACTTCAGCGAATGTGTCTACAACCACCTGCTTGCAAAGACCAAGAAGGTATCAGCGCAAGGGTTTGGCAGTCTACATAAACACAAAAGGTTTGAGGCGAATTAGGCCAAAAGTCAGCCACGATAAGGTTGAGCACGCCAAAGACTAGAGTAAGCAGCGATCCAATGAAAATAATGGCCGTCTCCGGGTAGGCTTCAATGATCGGCACGGCTATTTGGCCCCAGCCATCTCCAGCAATAACTGTCTTGAATAGCAGCAAATTTGCATGCATGACAGTGGATGTTGCCCGGATGCACTGGTCGCAGTCCCTGAACAACTCCTCACTAGGCAGTTCGAGCATGTATGGATGGATGATCTCCACAATCCTGGGTCCCAAATTTCTGCTCCATAGAAGGCCAAAAACTTGGCAGTTCTGGAAGGAACCTCATACCACAAACCGTTAAGCCCTCACAAAAAAAGTATAAAAAGGATCCCTGGCGCGGGCCTAGAATCAGCATGGCCCATCCAGTCATCACCAAACACAGAAACACGAATGACCAGAACAGCGTCTTCAGGCAGGTAGCCAGCATGTTGACCAGCTTTTGAAGTTCTTTCAGCGACCTGTTCCTGCGTAGCAACTGCAAGAGCCGAACTATCCGGATCAGACGTAGCACCCGCGTGGCACCAATTTTCGAGAGAAACTCCACCTTCACAAAGGCGCTGACCAATAGGTCCAGACAGCCAAGGGCAATGATTGCGAAGTCAAGCCAAGCCAGCCAATCGTACAGCAGACGGCGACCTGCATCATGCACATATCTTAAGAGCTTCTTCGTTCTAGGCAATTTCCCCCTCAACATACTGGCTTTCTGTGCAGGAGGCATGCTTTCTGATCACTTTCCGGCCTCGTGCAAAAAATTGAAGCGTAAGCTCAAGTACGTATAGGCTTAAGCACAGGGTTGAGAGACCCACAACGTATTGCGGAGTCACATCACCACGTGCCCGGTAGTTAATATCGCTGGCAGTCAGGAACGCATCCAGTATCACGATGGAAACCATGAAATGTGCAAACATCTTATTTCGCAGCAGTTTCCGTGAACAGCTCTTGCAAAATGCGACACGGATGGAACTCTCAGACTCCTTTGTCACTTTATTCACGGCGTGCGAGCTTGTTTCTGCTCGCCTGAAAACGTCGGTGGCGATTCCAAGGCCCTTAACCTTGAGCTGCTCGCCAACAACGCTCTTCCTGATCTCTCCTCTGTTGGTGAAGGTGAGGACACTGGTTTCAGTCATATTGCTGACTTCCCGTTCCCAGTCAGTCTTGATGTTGAGGTCGAAGCCAGCATCAGAATTCATGCTGCCAGCATGCTGCATGCTGCCAGACCACCTTTGATGTCCCTGATTCCGAATTAGGCCGGATGGCCGGGTTGCACTTTGCACCTAGAGCCCGCGCAGAAGCCACACAAGCATAAGCTGCTGAAGTTGCACAAGCTGCTGGATTGGAACTGCAAGTGTGATTATCCGTATTCATCCCACGACCAAAATCTTGAGACTTGTGCAGCTGGACCGCTAATTCCACACACTTTCTACATAGCCCCTCAACCCTTAAGCCTATATATATATATAAATATACATATGTATACATATAGTGATTTCCATTCTAGTTTCCATTATCCGTAGAAGACTCCAACATATACCCCAACCCTAAAACCTAAACCCTACATAATCCCTTGATATCATATATAACCCCGATAACCCCCTCTCTCTCCCCGATAACCCCCTATAACCCTGTATATATATCCTATAATGATATAGTAGTTTCGATTTTGCTTCTAGCTGACATGAATTGAGGGAAACCTGCCTGACAGCCCATCGTGCAGTGAAGTAGCCACTTCCTCGGGTGAACACGTAAGAGGCTTGATAAAAAAAATATATGTATATATATATATATAACACTCCTATATAACCCTATAATATAGGAGTTTCCATTTTCATGTTGCATTATCCTTATATAGCCCTAATACATACCCTAGCATAGTACAGCAGTTTCCATGTTCTTTTCCATTATCTCTATGAAGCCCTATACAAGCCCTGTATAAACCCTATATAAACATAAACCCTAAATAACCCCTAAATAACCCCTATACAACCCCAATATACCCCCCATCCGAAGCAATGATTTTAATTTGCACCCTGGCTGCTGAGTTTCCTAGCCCCAAACAGGTGAACCTTTCAATTATAATAGGTTTATGTATGCATAGATAGAAAGACACAGACATACATACATAACATAAGATAGCGTTATATAACATAACATAGCATAGCAAACCATAAATACATACATACATACATACATACATACATACGTGCATACATACATTCATACGTAGGCTGCCCCCCTCATGCCCAACACGCGGAACCATGCTACATCCAATTTGGAGGGACGTGGGCAACCAAGATAGCTCTTTCTCCTAGACAGAACTCCTAGAAAGAAGGTTGTTTTGCTACTGGAAAACCATCCTTCTGTCTGGAAAAGGTGGTTTTCTAAATAACATCCATCTTTTTGATTTTTCCCAGGGGCAACACAAAGAAACGTTTTGAGAAACTGTAATGGCTTTTCTGGTAAAGAAATGTTTTCGGTTTTCTTTCGGACAAGATGGTTTAGAAAGCAAGTCGCAGGAAAGAACATAAAGTGTTCAATTGCATTCCATAAAGGCCGCGTGAACGTGATCAAAAAGCACTGTATATTCTCTTTCACGGAATCAAACTTGCTCACGGTAGCTTACGAAACCCAGGGTCTAGCTTCCGGTGGCCCTTTTTTAGGGAACGAGCGCTTCCCGTGGAAATGCAGGAATGGCAACAACGGGCTCTCGTTTCTGAACTGTGTGGATTCTGAACAAGCTCAGGAAGTCTACGAAGGAATATCTTACTGGTCCTAGCAGGGAATACAGGAATAAAATCCCGTATAATATTCCCTTGTCCTCTACTAAAAACTAGTAACTAGTAAGTTACGCTAGCTTACGAACGCCAGGGTTTTGCTGGTGGCAGCTTGGTTTCTGCTACTCGCAGTCCTGTTTCCTTCAGGGGGGTTTGATCTCTGCTCACATGCTTCTTCCCAGGAAGAGCTGTTCTGTGCCTAGGAAAACAGTTTCAATGGCATTCCACAAAGACCACACGTTTTGTCCTAGGATGTTTTTTTCTTTTCGAAGTGCTGGTGCTGCAACACCGTCTTTTTCCCGGGAAAAGATGCTTCAAACAATCCATCCTTTCTTAGGAACGCACAAAAACATACTTTTTGAAAAGCCGAATCAATTTCTCAAAAAAGAAGTGTTGCTTTTCGTTTCTGGTGCTGCACCTAGGAAAAAATGGCTGCTCTTACAACAAAACCTTGTCTGAAAAAGTGTTTTCCAATAGCACCCATTTGAGATATCACCTCTCACCCAGGAAACGGATGATTTTCCAAGAGCATCACTAAGCAACACAATCATCTTACTAGGCAGCCAATGGCTGTTCAAAGGTGATCTGATTCCTTAGGTGTTCATGATGTGTTAAGCAATATTTTGAAGTAACCTAAAGGACATCCAATTGGAATGAGGGAACTCCTGTATGTCTAGGTGTCCATTCATCTTATAACTTATATGGTTCTAATAAAGGGGCTTATACAAAAGAACCGAGAGGGATTCTAGTTGGAATTGGACACCCCCTTTATGGTCTAGGTGTTGTTGGCTGTCGATGGTTGTAGTAGAGAGGAACCCAGTGGAAATCTATTAGGGTTCGAAATCTCCATATTCCTTAGGCCTGTAGTATGGTTTCAAAGTTGTTAACAAGGCATTTGTACAATTTTATCTCAAGGACAAGGAGTACCGTTTTTTTTACTAGATTAATATGGACGTCGAGTTGTTGTAAAGGAATTTCTCTAAAGAGGCAAAAATGGTCTTCCACAATGAGAGATCTCCTGTATCTCTTATGTTCTTATCAGAAAGGAGTGTATATACAATACTTGAAGACCTCCCTTGCTTCCTAGGTTCTGTTTATTCTTGTACGTTTTTTCCATACGGCATTGATTGTTCTCTATACTACGAATTACTTTCCGAGATGATATCAGGATCAAGTTGTGTCCTGGGCATAGAACTCCCTCTTTGAAAACTTTTCTGTGGCTCTTGAACCTTCAGCCTTCAATTTAGAACGTCTAAGATAAACGCGCTACATACCGTTTAAATACCCTGATCTGGACCTTGAAGAATTCCAGAAGCCTTTCTGAGAAACTTCGACCTTCGATCTTCAACAATTTGAATTTGGAGCATTTAAAGCAAATGCGTTAAGTTTAGGGTTTAGGGTCATTTAAATACTCCCATCTGGACATCACTCGCCTGTCGAGGTGAGCTTGGGCAAAGCTACCATAGTTTCACGGTGCGTTGTTATATGCATACCCACAATAAATGGAACCCCTGAATAATCCCCTATGTTCCCCAATGTAGTAATGGAGCCATTTTGGGGGGGTCCATTTTTTGGATCCGGGTATGTTCGTATATGTATATGTATATATATATGAATACATGGATGTCATCTACATTTCTTTAGAAATTTTCTTTCACCCAAAAATGACCTCTTCACAAACAACCCAGAGTCCTTTTGCAAACACCATCGCGAACTTTCGCGGAAGCATATTGTAGTTTCCCAAAATAAGGGACCCCGACACAGACCCCAAAATACTATAATCCAATTTATAGGGACCCCCAAAAGGGTACCCCAATTTTGGAAACCTCCTATATTTGCAGCAAAAACCTATCAACTGTATCGTGCAGATCTTTCGTTACTATGTGGCATTCAGGACCCTTACCAAAGGTTTAGCCGTAGGCGGTACCTATTGTAGGCTTATAAGGGAATCCGAAAGGGATCCAAAGGGTTAAGGGTCTAAGGTCCAAGCCAAATCCCAAGGAGTCAGGTGAGAGCTCTGAGACTGAACACATGTTTCAAAAGTGTTTTGCTGATTGGGGTACCTTTTCATACTACTGGCAGGGAAATGCATTTGACCGCATGTAAGGAGGTATAGCTTTTGCGAAATCCCAAACCCCTTTCGCGGACACCAGCGCGAATTCTCGCGGAAGGCCTTCTAAGCCAGCCCATGTCGTTTTATACATATGAGTTTTGAGGACAACCCCCCCGTGTATCTCTATGTACATACATATATAGATACACTTATATAAATATATCTATCTACCCCGTGAGGTTAAAGGTTATCAGTTAGCAATCTAGCAATTAAGACACTCTCAATGATTCTGGTTGACGGCTTCAGCTCGGAATTCTGAATTCTGAAGGTCCTTTTGGGGTTCCAAATTATGATACTGGCTTGTTAAGGAACTTAAATTAAGTTACCAAAATGGGTATATATAGTAAAGAAGAAAGGTTTCCCCAATATAGTAACTTAAATTTCGTTTTTTAACAGCAACCCAGGCTATGCTGCCCCTGCAGCTTAGAGTACCCCAAAAAGGACCCTTGTAGCAGCCGTCAGAAGTGCAGCAAAGTGTCAGCTTGCCAATGAGGTCGCGCTGGATGTTCTCACCTTTGTTGTCCTGTGGCAGGCGCTGAACCTGAAACCTTGGGTACTGCCCCCACCCAGTAACAGTCTATATTAGGGGTCCTATTAAGGGCTGTATATAACCCTATTATATTTAGTATCCAACTGTTACTGAGGGGGGGGGGGCAGTGCTGAACCTTAATGAGCACTAAACTGTCGAAGCCGATGGCGCGTGAATCGTTCGTGGCTTGGCAAATGGCAGCTCATCTGGAGGGTTGTAAAACAATGGCCCCTTTCTGGGCAAATATTAGGCACGCTATGTTCATGGCAACCAACTTGCTGCAAGGGGAGCTAGCAACTTCCAATGCATGCTTGGAGTGTGAGGCTGAAACAGCAAGCCCCACCTACAATGGAATAGACTCTCTTTGTTCCCTTCAACTTTGAGTATGAGTCACAGCGTTGCATTCGTTGCATGCGCTGTGTCAACTTGGTTCTTAGATCCGGTGTTCATGAGGTAGGGTGGCTTGCATAAGGCGAGCGCTTGGAAGTTAATGGCTCAGCAGAAGTAGAACACTAACCCCTTGCCTCCAGGAACTGTTCAAAGGATGGGGTTCTCCTGCACAGGTCTGACGATGCTTGCACATCTGAATGCCTGTACTGTTCTAGACAGCAACACCCACCCGAAGCAGAGCACAGGATGTAAACTCACATTTGACGGTGCCTGACAGACATGCAGCGCAGCATCCAGTGACTCTACTGTCCACCAGACATTAAGAGGTTCCGGGTAAGTATATCCCCGTCATACATCTACATATAACCCAAATAAAAGCCCCTAATC